TACTATTACAGGATGTATTCAGATTTATATTTTTTGTTAGTAAAAATGAATAAATTTTGCTGAGGTTGTCGATGTCTGTCTTTTTGTTGATATTGTTTTCTTTAATTTTGATCTCAGCCATTTCCAGAAATTGCCTTTTATTTGAATCTGGTTCGAAATGGAGAATTTTGGTGTTAGTATAATTGGCTGAATGATCATTATCTAGAACATGTTGTGTGAGTGCACAAGAATTTCGTTTTAAATTTTTACAATTACTTTTATGAAGAGCTATGCGGGTTTTTAAATTGTTTTTTGTTTGACCTATATATATCTTATCACAATTGTTGCAGGGAATTTCGTAAACTACATGTGACTTTTCAAATAACGGATCTTCATCTTTCAATTTTGAATGTAGTTTAGTTAAGGGTTCAACTTTCATTTGTGAAATTTTTATATTCTGTTCTTATTTAAATACGTTTATGATTTTGCTGGACAATTCAGGGACATAAGGAATGGAGGAGTATTTGAGATTTGGATTTTCAGCTTTATTGTTTTCTCTGATATTGATGATTTTAAATGAAGTATTATATAACAATTTATTTAAAAATTTTGGAAGATAAGAATTAGTTATTAAAATATTGAATAATTGTTTTAAATTTTTCTCTGCCAATGTAGGATGAGAAATTTTTTGTATTCGATTTTTCAAACCTTGAACTAAATTAATTTTCATTTTTTGTGGATGACAGGACAAATAGTTTATATCTGCCTGAATTAGTGGGTTTAGTAAAATAATCTAAAATAACAAAGTTATCATCTTTCCTGATTAAAAGAGTATCTAAAAAAGGTACTGTTTTGTTTTTTTCTTTTTCTATGGTGAATTGAATAAATGGATTGTAATTGTTAAGAATGGTTTTTATATCATCAATTTTGTCAAAAGGTACAGCACATATCATATCATCCACAAACTTTTTTAAAAAAGGAATCTGAAATGATAATTTTGGAATACATTCATATAATAAATCGTCCATCACATACTGGGCTAGAATAGGTGATAAAGTTGATCCCATTGGAGTACCAAGTATTTGTTTATAATATTCGTTGTCATAAACGAAAACAGTAGTATCACAAATGAAATCTATTATTTCTAAGAAGGCTGTTTTTTGTTAATTTGGTATGATTAGTAATGATATTCCAATGTCTTTCAATGCTGTGTTTTACCAGATTTATTGGTATGTTACTAAAGAGGTAGTTTCATTCCTTGCATAAAATTTGAAAATTCAAAAGAATCTTTAATATAATATTGATTATTTGTATTATATGCATTGGTTGAAATTTCTGTAAT